TTGTAAGAAGCCCTAGTCCGGTATACTCGACTAGATCCAGCCCCTCAAAACGGGGCCACTGTATTAACCTCCCATTTTATCTCCCAATCAGCACCCGACGTAAGAAAGAAACTAAAGAAAGCAGAAGAGGGGCCAGAGACTCCCATCCAAGACCTGGTAAAAATGGCCTTAAAAGTATTCAATGCCAGGGAAGATGCGGCTGAGGCTGCCCGCCAAACTCGCATGAAGCAGAAGGCTGCCCTCCAGACCCAAGCCCTAGTGGCGGCTCTAAGGCCGGCAGGGAACCAGAAGCCCAAGGCAGAAACCCATGCCCCTCCGGGAGCATGTTTTAAATGTGGGAAGGAAGGACACTGGTCCCGAGCCTGTCCACAACCACAGCCACCAACTAAGCCTTGCCCTATCTGTCAGCTCCCGGGACACTGGAAGTCAGACTGCCCCAGCTTCCCCAGGGTGCTGGTTCCTCAAAACAGACACACTGGTGTTACGCAGCCGGCAGTCACCCTCAGTAGGGATGAGCCTGCTTGCCAGGAGCCGACCTCCGAAGGAGCTCCGTTCCCCAGTCTACTAGGGCTGCTAGACGACTAGCGGGGCCCTGGCTTTCCGACTCCGGTTACCCTCGCCGAGCCTAGGGTCACAAGACATGGGGGCTACCTACTCCACACTTCCTTCTTATTCTGGCCGTCTCACCCCTTCCCAGGTCTCGGTCATGGGAATCGATGGGACCCCGAGTATCCCCTACCAAACCCCACCACTCATGTGCTCATATAACTCTACTCCATTTACCCACTCTTTTTAGTAATCCCCACCTGCCCAGTTCCCCTTCTGGGGCGAGACATCCTTTCAAAGCTGAAGGCCGTCATAACCTTCCCCACCGCCAGCCCACACAGCCTTTTTCTCCTAGCCCTCAATACTCTGCCTCGGAACTCCAGGCCCTCCAGTCTACCCCCGGGGTACGGTTCAAGGATGACTTAGCCTTCAAGCATAACCTCCTCATCCTCCCTGAAAAGCAAAGGTACCAGATAATCCAAGACATCCATAATTCACTCCACATTGGGCCTAAAGCCTTATACCGATTCCTCAACCCACTTTTCACCCTCACCATCTCCTCAGTACCATACAGGAAGTCCAGTCCTCATGTACTGTCTGCGCGAAAACTAATTCCCAGGGTTCCTGTCATCCTCAGTGCCAGCTTTATCAGCTACGCAGGTTCCTACCTGGCCAAGACTGGCTAATTGATTTCACCGATATGCTAAAGCATAAACAGTACCGGTATCTGCTAACCATTGTTGACACTTTTTCAGGCTGGATTGAAGCTTACCCCACAGCCTCTGAGTCTGCCGGGACAGTAGCCACTCATCTCATTCAAGACATCATCCCACGCTTTGGACTCCCGGCTACCATACAGTCAGACAACGGCCCAGCGTTTATCTCCAAAGTCACTAATGCCGTTTCTACCTCTCTAGGAATTCAGTGGAAGCTACACGCCGCCTACCATCCTCAGTCCTCTGGTAAGGTGGAACGGGCCAATGGCCTAATAAAGGAGCATCTGACCAAGCTCATGCTTGAGCTCCGCCAATCCTGGGTAACCTTGCTTCCTATCGCCATCACCAGGTTGAGAGCAAGCCCCCGGGGCCCATCACAGCTTAGCCCATTTGAGCTGCTGTATGGTCGCCCCTTCCTACTTTCAACTCCCCCACCGCCAGAGATCACTCCTCTAGACAGCTACCTCCCCTACTTTACTCTCCTTCACAGCCTTCTCCGAGAACACGCCAACGCTTCTCTTCCCCAACCCACCCAACCATCTGAAAATACACAGAAAGTCTTCCCCGGGGACTCAGTTCTTATCAGGTCCCTCTCCCCAAAGCCCCTCGCCCCCAAGTGGGAAGGACCATACACAGTCCTCCTTACCACTCCATCAGCTATAAGAGTTGCTGAAATCCCATCTTGGGTCCACCTGTCTCGGGTAAAAAAGGCCCCTCATGGACCCTCCTTATGCTGGAAGGCTGTTCCTACTGGCCCTTTATCTGTCAAACTTACCAGGGCTTAGCAGCCACACCCCCTACAGATGGAGATTCTTCCTAACTGAAAACTATACCAAAACCACCTTCATCTGTAATACCCCTCCATACAGCCACAACCATCTTCTTGCAACTTCCGACTGCCCCGCAGCCAGATGCCAAAGGGCCATATATCTGAACTTCACCAAATTCCATAACATCCATACTGATATACCCCTCATGTGCTTCAACCATGACCAACCATCAGGAGCATGCAATAATACTCCTTGGCGCTCCTGCATGGGGTGTACTTGGATGAACTGTCAATTACATATAGCCGTCAAGTCCACAGTACCTGCCCAATCTCAGCTCAAAATCATCCCAGACATAGATAGAGAAGGAAACACCATTATCGGTTCTACACGGTATTCCATTCTCATACCTGACCCCTGGGACAACCGGTGGAAAAGCCCCCAGAAAGCTGCCGTGTATGACCACAAAGATACCAAATATCCCTCTTCCCACCTGTACATCTGGCGGGCATACGTATGTACAGTCCACCAAGTCCACTCTGATATTAGCCTACAAGAAACATCTCTGAATGACCAATTGCAACCACATTTGTCTCCGTTTTCCTGGTTAACTTTTCTCCAAGAAGGAATCAAGTTAGCTAACCTCTCAGAACTAACTGACCTAACTTCATGCCTCATGTGTGCCTTCTTAGGACAGACTCCCTTCGTTGCAGTCCCTTACCCCATCCCTCTCAACCTTTCAGCCTCAACTTCTTCCTTCTCGCCCGTCAGGGAAGTCGATCTCTACACTCCACCTGATTTTGAACAGGTACCTGTGTGCTATTCCCTAGGCCAAAACTTCCCTAGCTGTAACAGAACTATACTGGTAACCACTAATATAACAGCCCCACGAGGAACGTTTTTTTGGTGTAACAGGACCTTAACAAAAACTCTCTACATTGGCCTTTCCTCATCTCTTTTATGCCTCCCAGTAACCCTAGTCCCTCGACTCACTATATATTCTTCAGCCGAATTCCAGATGCTGCAAGCTCCCCATCGCTGCACCCGACGAGCTGCCTTCCTACCCATTGCCGTTGGAGTCTCCCTTGCTGGTTCAGCACTTGCAGCAGGATTAGGAGGAGGGGCACTAGTCCACTCTCACCTGGCCATAGCCCGACTGACCTCACAACTCCAAGCGGCTATTGATGACTCTACTGAGTCTTTAGCATCACTCCAACGACAGATCACCTCAGTTGCCCAAGTTGCCTTGCAGAACTGAAGAGCCCTGGACCTGCTCACTGCTGAACGAGGAGGGACCTGTATCTTCCTACAAGAAGAGTGCTGTTACTACATCAATGAATCCGGCCTAGTAGAAACCCGAATCGAGAGCCTCCAGAAACTCAAAACTAGCCTGCAGAGTCAGAAGTTCTCGGCTGAAGCCACAGCGTGGTGGTCTTCCTCTATGTATACCCTCTTGTCCCCATTTCTTGGGCCCCTAGTAGCCGTTTGCCTAATCTTACTTATTGCTCCTTGCTTTCTACAGTTCATACAGCGGCGCTTTCAAGAACTGACTCGAGTCACCATCCACCAGATGCTGCTCCAACCCCACCCTGAACGAGTGCAAGAAACAGACCTCTCCCTGAACATCCAGGCTCCTTAAGAAAAGAGACCTCCTGTAATCCCAGCACTTTGGGAGGCCGAGGCGGGTGGATCACAAGGTCAACAGATCGAGACCATCCTGGTCAACATGGTGAAACCCCGTCTCTATGAAAAATTACAAAAAATTAGCTGGGCATGGTGGCGCGTGCCTGTAATCCCAGCTACTCGGGAGGCTGAGGCAGGAGAATTGCCTGAACCCAGGAGGCGGAGGTTGCGGTGAGCCGAGATTGCGCCATTGCACTCCAGCCTGGGTAACAAGAGCGAAACTCCGTCTCAAAAAAAAAAAAAAGAGACCTCTTCAGAACCCCCCGTCGACCCTTGTCAGCAGGAAGTAGCCAGATCGATTCTGCCGCCCTTTTTCCTTTTTAAGGAGTCAGGAATGTTTGGTAGAAAGTCCCGTCATCTTTCCCCCAGGTTTCTTGCCCCCACCCTCCCCCCAGGCTTCCTGCTGCCCTGAGAAAAGCCCACCAAGCCTGCTCTGTTCTGCCCAGCAACAACAAGCAGCCAATCATCACAGCAGGAAAGCCCGCCAAGCCTCGGCCTATCCTGAACCGACACGTAACCCTCTGAGCCACCTCAGCAGTCTGCCCAGAGACGGACAGCCTATCCTAAGCTCCTACGACACTCCGCCAGCCCTGTGTCCACGCCCCGTCCATCCCCCCTATAAAACCCTCCTACCCCAGCTGCGCAGTCGCAGCCAGCCCCGATCTCCTTCCTTTCCTGGCCTGCCCGCTGGTCCCAATAAACCTGAACTCGGCTTCCAACTCTCGAGCTGTTACTTGGGGTCGGGTACCGGGCAGGGGTCTACGAGGGGGTCGCACAAAAACAATAAAATGAACTTTTATAGTTCTATTTGTAAGGCTGTTTTCCCCTGGAGATTAAATATTTTTCTGGTCTTTTCTTCCTTATTTGGAATTTTTCTTAGCCAAAATGTAAGTAAACTAGATATAACCATTACATATTGAAAAGAAGCACACAGCTCCCCATACAGCGAATTATGTTAGGACTAATGTCAGGTAGACAGGACATTATCACTAATGGTAAAAAATTATTTGCTAGTAGAAAAGAAAATCAAGATATGGTAAATTAGGCAGAATGTGGATTTTATTAGTATTAGTCCTATGAAATCTCATAAATTTTTTTATCATACTGTTAAATTACATAATGATTAAAGAATAAAATAGCATTACTAACCATATTTTAATCTGAAAGAACATTTTAGAAATGCTGGTCTAATCAGTGGATTTTTACAGTAATCATTAGAAATGCAATGTTTAAGAAAATAACTTTGCTCTATTCAAAAGTCTTAATTTTTGAATTCCCAGGTACTTACCTTCTAAGGAATACTTCCTTCAGATTTGGTCAAACTACATGTCAGTTGTATTCTTGTTGATTATTGTGCCTAGGCATTTTGGTAGCCAAGAAGCAACTTAAAATCTAACATGGCAAATAAGAAAGATCAGTGAGAGAAAGTTTCTTACAGCCTTCCTACTAGACGCTTTTAAGAACAGGAAATACTGTAATTGAGTAAAGGTCATGTGTGGATTGAGGCTTTTATACAAAGAATGGTTGTTTGTTTGTTCAGTTGACAGTTGTCCTTTGTACTTTGATTACTTCCTGAGAAACAATGGGTTGTGTCTTAATATGCATATTTTCCTTTTGTTAAGTATGTGCTGTGGACAGAAGTGTCAGTTATTTTGGGGGCTATGGTGGACTCTCTTGCTAATCAATAGAAATCAGACTAGGTGAAAACATCTCTAAGCATACAAATGAAATCACATATTACTGAATATATTTGAGACTATAAAATAATTAATAAAGAAATTACAAAATATTTACAGCTGAGTAACAGTGAAATACAAAAAACCAGTATTTATGGGATACGAAGGGAAATGTAACCTCTAGCTCTCAAATATAAAAAAATGAGAAAGACTGAAAACAAATGAGCTAAACTTTTAGCATCTCCACGAACTTGGCAAAAGCAACAAAATACACAAGAGAAAAAAGAAAGCAATATAAGGGCAGAAATAAATGAAATAGAGAAAAAGGAACATCAGCAACAAAAAAGATGCCTTGTGAACAGAGCCATAAACCCATCACAGTTTTGTCGGCTCATTAAAATTTTTATTTAGTCTGATGAGAGTTGTTCTTGATGATACTACCATCAGTTTTTTTATATCATACTTTTCACACATTTAATATTAGTTAATGTGAGTAGTTTGCATTTCATCTTCAGACTCTTTTTCCTTCTTTTTTTTAAAACTTTTACTTCAGGTTAATGGGTACACATGAAGGTTTGCTATATAGGTAAACTAATATAATGAGTGTTTGTTGTAAAGATTATTTCATTACTCAGGTACTAAGCATTGTACCCAGTAGTTTTTCTTTGGCTCCTCTCCTTCTTTTCACCCTTCTCACTCAAGTAGGCCCCATTGTCTGTTATTCTTTTGTGTCCATGAGTTCTCATAATTTAGCTCATGTTTATAAGTGAGAACATGTGGTATTTGGTTTTCTGTTTCTGCTTTAGTTTTCCAAGGATAATGGCTTCCAGATCCATCCATGCTCCTGCAAAATACATGATCTCATTCTTTATGGCTGCATAGGATTCCATGGTGTATATGTACACATTTTTTTAATCCAGTCTGTTATTGATGGGCTTTTAGGTGGATTCCATGTTTTTACTATTGTGGACAGTACTTCAATGAACATTTGTGTGCATCTTTATGGTAGAATGATTTGGATTCCTCCAAGTATATACTCAGTAATGGGATTGCTGTGTCGAACGGTAATTCTATTTCTGGCTCTTTGATGAATCACTACATTGATTTCCACAATGGTTCAACTAATTTACACTCCCATCAATAGTGTAGAAGTGTTCCCTTTTCTCTGCAACCTCACCAGCATCTGTTATTTTTTTTTTTACTTTTTACTAATAGCCATTCTGACTGGTGTGAGATGGTATCTCATTGTGGTTTTGATTTACATTTCTCTAATAATCAGTGATATTGAACTTTTATTTGTATGCTTGTTGGCTGCATGTATGTCATCTTTTGAAAAGCGTCTGTTCATGTCTTTTTCCCACATGTTAATGGTTTTTTTCCTTGTAAATTTGTTTAAGTTTCTTATAGATACTGGATATTAGACCTTTATCTGATGCATAGTTTGCAAATATTTTCTCACAGTCTGTAGGTTGTCTGTTTACTCTGTTGATGGTTTCTTTTGCTGTGTAGAAGCCTTTAAGTTTAATTAGATTCCATTAATCAATTTTTGCTTTTGTTGCAATTGCTTTTGGTGTCTTCATCATGAAACTTTTACCTGTTACTATGTCCAGAATTTTATTGCCTAGGTTGTCTTCCAGGATTTTTATATTTTGGGGTTTTACATTTAAGTGTTTAATCCATCTTGAGTTGATTTTTTTTATACTGTAAGGAAACGGTCCTTTTTCAATCTTTTACATGTCGCTAGCCAGTTATCCAGGCATCATTTATCAAATAGGGAGTCCTTTCCCCTTTTCTTATTTTTGTCAGCTTTGTCAGAACAGATGGTGGTAGGTGTATATTCTTATTTCTGGGCTATGTATTTTGTTCTATTGATCTATGTGTCTGTTTTTATAATAGTACCATGCTGTTTTGGTTACTATAGCCCTGTAGTATAGTTTTGACTCTGGGCAGCTGAGCCCCAAAGTGGAACTTAGTCTGCAAGGGTTCTTGGATTTGCCCAAGGAAGAATTCAAGGGCAAGCTGGAGGTAGAAGTAAACAGCTTTATTGAACAGGCAGTGTTACAGTTCTGGTGGTATAGCTCCTTGATTGCATCTGCAGGGCTACTCCTATAGGCAGAGAGTAGCAGTTTAGGGCAATTTTGCAGCCATATTTATACTCACTTCTAATTGCATGCAGTATAAGTTGTGGTTTATGCAGGAAAGAAGTAGTAACTTTTGGATCATTGGGTGCCATGGAAATGGACAGTAAATTCCAAGTATTGCCATGGTAGTAGTAAATTGACTTAGCACACTAGTGGGTGGGCTGATTGAAAGCTTCTTTTGACCCTGTCATGTTTTAGGTAGTCTTCTGTCTGGTCTGTGTCTAAGCCCTGTCTCTGGGGTCAAGTCCCATCTTCTACTTCAGTTTGAAATTGGATAATGTGATGGCCCAGCTTTGTTGTTTTTGCCAGGATTGCCTTGGCAATCTGTGGGCTTTTTTTTTTTGTTCTGTATAAATTTTAAAATAGTTTTTTTCTAGCTCTATGAAGAATGTCATTGGTAGTTTGATAGAAATAGCATTGAATCTGTAAGTTGCTTTGGGCAATACGGCTATTTTAATGATATTGATTCTTCCTACACTTTACCTATTTTTTTTTCCCCACCAGTACATGATGACATCAGCATAGTGATGGTGTTTCCCTGTAACACCAAATAAATATATATTTAATTTATATACAATATAACACATTTCTTAGAAGAAATAATCATTAAAAAGCTTCTGGTGTTAGGTTAGGTCTTTCAGTAATTATCTGTATATCTGCCTGTCAACCCCATGATTGAATAAGGTGGTAAATATTAGAATTACCGGCCCCTTGATCCAGTCACCTCCGACTATGTCCCTCCTCCAACACTGAGGATTATTACAATTTGACTTGAGATTTGGGTGGGTATATAAATCCAAATCATATCAGAGATGATCCAGATGTGGTAGAAGAAGCTCTTGTACCAGAAACAGCAATGACAACCGGTGTTGTAGAGAGTAGCTTTGGCAGCCTCTGGGAAAATGGAAGTAGAAATGGTAGTAGGGTTGGAGCTGATAGGGACAGCTGTGCCTGTGGGAGAAAGGGCAGCGTAGGCCTCTGTGGTGGCAGTGGGAGTGGCTGATGGTGCCTCCAGGTGAGGCAGAGAGAACAACTCTGGTGGGGGCTGGTATTAGTAAGTGCAGATGTGCAAGTATAGTTGTTGGGGGAGTGGTAGCAGGGGAAATGTTGACAACTGACATGTCACCTGATGTTGGGGGAAAGTCCCTAGTTGTGGTTGGACAGAAAGATTACTGACAGCATCAGATGTAGAGAAAGGAGTAGAAGGAGAATATGTAAGTGCAGGTGTGCTAGGTACAGCTGGTGTTTCAGATACGATAGTGGCAGCAGTGACTGCATGTGTTGTAAAGAGAGACAATGAAGTAGTATTATCCACATATAGTGAGTAGGTTTATATGTAGATAAAGCATTAAAGATTGAAACTTTGGCTGTGTCATCTTTCAAGGTAAATGCAATAGATATGATGATTGCAGTCATATCTGTGGCTAAAGTCTTAAATAAGGTTGTGGCATTAGAAGTGGTGCTTCTAGATTTCAGCTCAATAGTTATGGTGACATCTGTGGAAGCAAGTGTGCTGATAGTCTCAGCAGATTTGTAGGTACTTCCAACTTGACTGGTAGTAGATGTGGAAGTTGATGTGATACTGGCAGTGGGGGTGGAGGCAGTTGCCATGGGTTGGGAAGTATTTGTGGGAAATGAATTTATATTGGTGGCTTCTGATGATGAGTTGGTAGCAGATGTAACCTTAGCAGTAATTGATTAGGTGGAGGTGCTATTGCTAGTAGTCTTTTGTTGTTGAGGGTTGGAAGGGGGACAGAGTCTTGCTATGTCACCTAGGCTAGAGTGCAGTGGTGCAATCATAGCTCACTACAGCCTGGAAATGTTGGCCTCAAGGGATTCTCCCATCTCAATTATCCAAGGAGTTGGGATTACAGGTATGTGTCACCAAACCCAGCTCCTTTATTTTTTCTTTTTGTAGAGATGTGGTCTAGCTATATTTCCCAGGCTTGTCTTGAACTCCCGACTTTAAGCAGTCCTTCTGCCTCAGCCTCCTAAATTGCTGGGATTACAGGCATGAGCCACTGCACTTGGTCCTCTATTAGTCTTTTTATGTATCATTTTGGTTTACTTAAAGCTAATCTTTTAAAGTCTTAAAATATTAAATTATGACTATGCTATGTATTTGACTAATATTTCAAAAAAATAGAACTTAAACTGTGTTTTCTCTGCTGATATTGAACTAGCCTTTTAATACATTGCAAGGAGTGGGACTAGGAAATAAAAGTACAGATTGGTCTATCACTCAGCCAAGCCTGTTCCCTGGAGGGCTGTGCTCAGTACTTGAAAGCATTCAGTTCTTAGGCTCATCTATCTCCTTATGCATGAAGGAACCAGGGGCTTTTTATTTCTAAGGGTTCTTCCTGTGACAGCATGTCTGGTCAGGCAGTGCTAGCCCATCTGTCTAAGAGTCTAATTCTATACCTTTATAACTTTCATCAACACTCACCTTTAGAAATATGTCAATGATTCATGATGGTGAAGAAAAGATACTGCATTTTATAATCATACAGGTAATACTTTTCTATTCTAAGATTTTGATATTACTGGACAAGTTATCAAGTGTTACATGGTATCATTAGACATTATTAAAGCTTACCTCAATTTTGTAAAAGCTGAAACACACAGACAATTACTGGTGGAAACTTGTGAATTATTAAGGCACCAATA